GGGAGAGGAAGGGGAGGAGGGGAAGGGGGCCCTGGCCAGTGCGGCTCAGTTGGTTGAGCGCCATCCTGTGCATTGAAATGTCACCTGTCAGGTCAGGGCACATGCCCAGGATCTCAATTCCCTCAGCAAGGGTGATTGTGGGAGGCAACTGATTGATATTTCTCTCTCACACAGATGTTTCTCTCTCTCCCCCCTCTCCCACTCTCTCTAAAAGAAAATCAATAAACACATATTTTTTAAAAAAAGAGGGAGAGGGAGAGGCAGAAAAGAGGAGAGGAGAGGGGAGGGGAAGGACAACAAGAGGTTGCATCTGGGAAACAGAGTCTGTAATCGATTGTTGATGTCTGCCACGGTCACGGGGAAGGAGTCACTCAGGCAGTTTTGCAATGAATTGTCTACCCTTCTTTTACACACTCGTTTATTTATTAATGATTTCATAAGTACCTACGCATGCTCCACCCGAATCTGTGATTTCCCCAGAAAGAAGCATGAGGCTGTACTCACTGCCAGGGCTCCCCGGGCTGACAATCTCATCTCCCCACCACCTGCATCCCACCACACACTCACGTCCCTCACCACATCTCTCCTTCTAGGGCAGCCCGGGTTCATTTTGGGGCTCCTTTATTGGTGCTTAGGCCGCATTTTTTCTCTGTTTTTCACAAGTGACAGAGGGATGAAGCAAGATAGTGGGCAGGGCATTTCTAAAGGTGATCAACGAAGCTTGAAAGATGACACGAAAAAGGCGAAGCTGGTCCCACACTTCCTCTTCCTCGGAAGACGTTTCTCCTCGCCCTGGAAAAGAACACCCAGAGACAGCGTTTAGGTAACAGGTATGTGTGGGCTCACACTGCGATCAATACAAAGGGCACTGATTTTCAAGCATTTGGACACCCCCGGCCCTCCCCTGGCTCCTGGGAACCAGCCAGTCAAAGACCCGTGAGGGCCTCAGCTCTGTCGTTGGAGGTGTGGTGGGAGAGGGACCTGCAAGAAGCTTGTTCTGGCCCTAACCGGTTTGGCTCAGTGGATAGAGCGTCGGCCTGCGGACTGATGGGTCCCAGGTTCGATTCCGGTCAAGGGCATGTACCTGGGTTGCGGGCACATCCCCAGTAAGGAGTGTCAGAATGCAGGCTGATCGATGTTTCTCCCTCATTGATGTTTCTAACTATCCCTCCCCCTTCCTCTCTGTAAAAAAATCAATAAAATATA